CCCCCCCCCCCCCACCCCCGGGGAATAACTACAGGATTATAAAGAGAGGCCATTCCACAGACCCAACTGAAAATTCCACAATTCTTAGATTATTTAAACAATAATATCATACATATTTTTATGACTTACTTTTTCAATCAAAGATGATTGGTTGTATTTTTCCATTTCATCTTTGTCGAGCACTATCTCCATCTCTGGAATAGCACCCCTTGTGTATGACATGGCTGTATCCATGAACTCTCTCAGGCTTAACTCATCCTTACCACCTATGGCCATAACTGACGTCAAGACACTCATTAAACCTAGTTCCTCTTCTTTTGAGCCTTGTATGCCATCACCGGAAGATGTTGAAGATTTCTCCTATGAGAAAATTGAGATTTTTAACTGCGAGAAATGGATGCATGAATGGTAGATGGAAGGATGGATAAATTGTGGATGGAGGGATGGATAAATGGTGGATGGAGGGATGGATAAATGGTGGATGGAGGGATGGATAAATGGTGGATGGAGGGATGGATAAATGGTGGATGGAGGGATGGAAAATGGTGGATGGAGGGATATATGAATGGAAGGATGGAAGGATGGATAAATGATGGATGGAAGGATATATGAATGGAAGGATGGATAAATTTATGGAAAAATAAATGAAATGACAGCAACTAAATAAAACAAAACTTTTATTTATCTTGACATTTTTTCACAAACCTGACTCTTCGCTTCATGCAAGGCATCTTTAACATCTTGTTTCGTGACTTTATCATTTCCTCCTTTCTTCAGTGACATAAAGAGCTCAGTCATGGCATGCTTAAGCCTTTTCTCCGCTTCTGGTGTATTAACACACCACTCCACGGCTTTTTTGTTCTCACTCGTAATTCCTTCGCCATTTTTAAGACATTGAGCTAACATTTCTGTAGCCTCTTTGTTGCAAGCCTTAGAAGCTGCAACCAAAAGCTCAATGGCATCTTCCTTCTTGCATCCCTCCTCGTGTAAAAGTTGTTTAGCAAGCTTGACATTTTCAAGCTGCTTTTCTGTATTTTCATTAGAAAATACCTCTTTTTCTTTAGACTCTGTAGGTATAGAGTCTGTCATGCTGAAAAACAACAACGGAAAACGAGGAAAATTAGAGAATTTACAAGAAACAGCCTCGTACAATTGCAATTTGCAATACAGTACCTTCGAACGAAAAGCTACTCTCTTCGTAGCTGTGAAACAAGGGAAAGCTGCAATAGCTTTTGTACTATGAGCACAACGTATCTACGAAGATTTTGGACAAAGAACCTGCAATATTTGTATTGTAATAAAGAACAGGCGTGAGAATATAAATTCAAAATAAAATGAGTATTACTATTATATCAGCAACAGCTGGTACCTGCAATATGACCACTGTGAGCGTTGAGTTCACTCTTAAACATTCATTTTTGCAAACGTAGATCAATAGTGGTATTATCAGGCAATTAAAAGAGACCTTAAATGGCAATATTTAATCCGTGCATTGAACCAAAACAGAACAAGAGGAATAGAACAAATAAATATTCAGCTTTGTCAAAATGTTATTTTTCTCGTAACCGGTAGAGGCTGGGCCCTAACTCTCGCTTTTCTCTTTTTGGGTGTCCTGTGTCGTCCAAATATCAGTTTTCTTTTACAGCTGAATAGATTTTTTTTGTTTTTGACACTCAGATACCAAACTTGATCCACAACTACATGTCATCTCATTGGAAGAAAATGCTATGGAATTAAAATTATACAGTATCAGTTAGTACCATTATTTTTTATTGGCTCTATTGTACTACCTCGCTGAATATCTATTAGGCTCAGGTCAAACATCGAACTTCACATGAGCCAAACCTAATTGAAACAATAAATATCAAGGTGGTCTTATTTGATGTTATTAGGTTTGGCTCATGCGAAGTTCCACCTTTGACATGAACTTTACAGTCCTTCTGAATAGCATGAGCAGAATTATCCTGGTTCCAGAGGCACTTAGAGGCCAGGTGAAGGGCAAAAAGGGAGTGAGAGAAAGGAAAGAGAAAGCCCTTTTCCTCCTTCTCCCTGCCACAAAGCACCCCTGGAACCAGGGTAGAGCAGGATTGCTGTCACAAAGGGATATGACCCTTTTGGTCCTAGGTCATTCAAGGGGTTTCCATGACATTCCAAAGGTAAATGCCCTTGAAAACATTGTGTTTTCCAACCTTGACAATGAAAACACTTTTATTGACTAGAATAAATCCCAATGTGGTGGCTACATTAAATTATTTCTCATCCAATTATTTCTTACTTGGACAGCATGGAGTCTTTTTACATATACTAATAATCATTATTATCATCATCATTATTATTACTAATGTATATGGAATCAGAAGTGCTTCATTTTATTCTTACATTTCAAAAATTGCTGTTAATCTTAAAGAAAATGCTACATAAGTTAGATCTGCTCTTAACATGTTAAACAACACAACGTGGAACGAAGTTAAAAATAAAAGGTATTTAAGGAACGGGTGGATACAAGATTTTTCAACAAGAGGAGTCCTGACCCCCTTGTTTTCTTTCAACTCACTTCCAGCTTCCAAGTCTTGATGACAGCAATGTCAATTCCCCTACCCTTGGAACGAGGGGAAGGGAAATTAGTAATATGAATATCTTACTGTCAAATTCCCCAGGTTGTCCACCACACAACCCCAGTGGCTGACATTTTATAGGTATATTAGTTTAATAAGTATATCATGAAAATATAATAAACTTAGAACTTAATACCCAATGAACAGTACAATTTCAGAAGATACATCCATCAATCTCAAGGCTAACAGTTAGCAGGGGAGGGAGGGGAGGGAGGGGGAGGCTTTTACATCTTGGTAATGCTCCATTAACGAAAATGGAAGGATTAATGGCAAAGGATGGGGAATGAATTCCCTCATATTTTAGGAGAATGCTGAAAGATATTTTCTGAAAGTGTTCATTCCTTTATTACAAGTTGATATATGACTTAAGGCACAGGTATAATTCAATTACATGTATAATCATTAGTATTGTTTAAGAGGAGACAACATGATGAATATTAATGTGACTTGGTAAAGGTGTTGGTCATCTGTGTTCTGTTGGACCAAGTATCGTGATTTCAATCTGATAAGTGTTAAGGTCTTATTACATTGATAAGTATAAACTGCTCTCCCAGTCTGATTGAATCAGAAATTCATTTGCTTGGGTTTCAAGGGGAAGGAAAGCAGAGAACCCAGAGAATCAAGGGTAGACTCATCTAACTAAGGCCACAAGTGAGCCGAGTCCAGGACCTGCGGGGGGGGGGGGGTACTCTTGCCCATTGATGTGCCGCTGAGCCCACTGAACCCTGACCCTGTTCCAGAGTAAAATCGCTGAAATTCATACCCTGTTCCAGAGCAAGATCGCTGAAAATTATACCCTGTTCCAGCATTGCGAAAATGGATACCCTGTTCCAGAGAGGAGAGAGTGTGATTTCATATGCCCTGTCCCAGAGCAAGCTCAATCTTATATACCCTGTTCCAGGGAGAATTGCTGAAAACCATAGCCTGTTTGGCAGCACGTACCTGTAAAGCAAACATAGGGTAGTACCCCCCCCCCCCCAGGTCCAGGAATTGCAATCAAGACACCAGACCTGAGAGACCAGTGTTCTCTACAACTTCACTAGCCTTGATTTTTTATTCCCATGAGGTGTAAGGCATAGTCTTTTTAAATGAGCAAAAATCTTAACACTCCTATAACCACTTTTTGATATAATTTTTTTAAAGGATACAACTCTTAGTCCCCTTTCCATTGGGTGTGTAATCATAAGTCCTCTCGGCACATATACATTCTGGTTTTGCTCTGTTATATAGTCTGATAAATGCCCCAGCATCTGTGAATACAGTCAATAATTATGTTAAATTTTACATCTCTAAGATTGGCCGAAAAAATTCAGCCAATCCTTAATAGTGTAATAATGAGCAAAACATGACAAAAGCATTATCTGTAGATTTTTCTGTATATAATAATTAGATTTATCATGCCAAGTTCACTTAGCAACAGGACACAGACTTAGAAAACTAAGYATTCTCAGTTAAAAAAGTGATTAATGGAATGTGCATATAACACTTATTTTTAGAACATTGCAGCATGATTTTCCAATTTTTCCTTACATGCTATATCATCACTGCCATGTTGATGGTATGGTGTCCTTCCCATGACAAATTATAAAAGCACAAAAGACGTGGCCACCATGTTGGTTGACATGACACCAAGACCAAGTCTTTTATCACAGTCATCCGAAATTATGGCTATGATGCTACTTTCACACCAACTGTTTTTATTTTCACATTTTGGTATGCAAAAATCTTATCACATGGTACATATATCTACTGCTGCAAGACATGCATTCCAACATGCATTACCACACTAGCGATTTTCATAGTATTACTGTTTTATTACCTTGTCATACTGTGTAACCATACAGCTATATATTAAGTATGCTGTCAAACAGCCCAGACATCCTTCAATATATGATCTGGTACCAACTTTTTCTGCTTCGTCCATAATTGCATTTATTTTATTGATTGTCTCTTCAAAAGTCTCTTGGTCGATCTAATGATGATCAGAGAGAAAATATATATTGAAGAAAGTAAGTAGTTTACGAAATAATTTACCAGATAAATATTTGAAAAATTCGGATAATTTTCTTGTTTTGACAGCAAAGCCAGAGAGTAATAACACATAAGCTTGGTTTTGATTTTGAGTTTGAATAAACAGAGACGTCAACATTTATGAATAAAAGTAAAAAATATATAAACAAGAACGTAAACATTCTAAAAACATTTCTAATCCAGCCCCTGTTATTACGAATTTCTTCGTCGCCATAAAAATAAGTTCCTTCGAGAGAAAAGGTTTGACATGCAGTGTGTAACTTAAGCATACTCCTTATCCCAACCATTTTATTGCCTTTCGGACTACTATCTTCTGTGTTTCACGTTCATAATGTATTGGAAATTGAAATAAATACCTTATTTTTGAGTTCTGGAGGGAATTTGGTTAGGAATCGGCAGGCCGTTCCACGGGAATAGTCGCGTTGAAGAAAGACTTTGGAGGAGCCTCGAGCAGCGTCTTCACCATGGCCCTGATTTATCACAAATAAAAATTAATAGAGTTTATCAAACGTTTCATAAATACCTAGATAACATTCTTTGGATAGTTTAGGACGTATATGTTGGGAAATATAGAGAAATATAAACGAGAATATTGATGTAAATAAGCAGAACTTTTACCTGGGCGGTCGCCATTTTAATTTGGTCTGACCTCTGCCATATATGGATAGGATAGGATATGATTAAAACCGGTGAGGACTGGAAACTACATTGGTTTGGGAAAAGGAAAGGATGAATGAATGAAAGTGAAAATGTACTAAATTTCATCTCGGAGATGCTGGTGAATGGCATCTTCAGAAAGCATTGACATTAGCTTTTTATTTTATTTGTTTGTCAATAAAAAGGACTATGCACAAATTCCGGACGCATGACAAGAAATACCAAGATAATTAAAAAGTATGGTCGCAAGGAAAAACCTTCTGATCCATCCCTATCTGATGGTTTTGCCAAACTTGCACGACAAATTTTTTCGGTCAGGTAACTACCAATGAAATCAGTGCACGCACTAAAACCGTGAACATTAAATAGTATTAATTAGTACTATTTCATACAGAATCCTTTGTTTTCTATTGTTTATCACTATTTAGTGCTAAAAATTAGTATGCTGTATTTGTTTCATGGATTTAGTGTGAGCACTCTATTAAACATAGATAAAATTAAGAATTCCAATTTCCAAGAATTTTGGTTTGGGTATCATTTTCAATTTTAACGATGTCAACATCATCCACTTCAAATTAAGATTTTTTGTTTGCAAACACGACTTATAAAGAAAAAGAAATTGAATAGTTTATTTACATAGTTTTTTAAATTTTGATCAATCTTTTAGACAAAAATCATGATAAGCTTTTACCATGAGAATACAGTGGTGAGTTTTTCATTATCAAGRGTTTTGAGGTATTTTTCATTCCAAAGTCGAGTGAAAAACTGGGTGTAATTGGCAATACATTACATTGCATGGCTGTTTTAGGGAATGAAATAGTYGTATTGTGTAGTTCCAGAAATCATCCATACCCACCCCACAGAGGAATTTGGAATTTCCAAAGAGTAGGGGGGTCAGAGAAAGAACAAAAATTACAGAGTTTGTATAGAAGAAAATTCCAGGGGGTAGGGGATGTCTTAAAAAAATTCCTCCATGAGGGGGGTATGGATATTTTTTTGAACTACACATTGGAGTTTTTTCCTTAACGTCAGAATCATAGCTAATGGTAGCCTGCGTGCATCTGAACACAAACTGTTGGAAAAAAACTATTAAAATTTACAGCAGTTAGACAACAATTGGAGTGAGTTTATTGCAAAGTATATATTAAAATAAAGCTAATTTTGACAAAATTTCAAATGGTTCAACTTGCTACTTTATAACATTCACTATTCATCTAAGCAAAATACCAAACTCTACTTGAGAAAAGAAATCAAAAATGCTATCCACTAACAACCAGGGCTATCCAACGAATAAATCCTTAACAGTGGATAAGTCGATGCCACTATCCAATAGATTTTTTCACTGGATAAGAATTATTCTTCAGATAGTGCTATTCAACCTTCGTACAACTGGGCCCAGAAGATGGACTCAAAGTATCTGTTTTTATTATTTAGTTTAGAGTTTTATTCACATAAAAGGCAGGAATTTTTTACTAATACAGCCGTTTCAAAAAGTGTTGGTGAAGGTTTAAATGTTGCATGTTGTTTACCGAGCTTGAAATTTATGATACCCATTAATGTAAATAATGTCAGCACCTAAGAAAATATACCAGAAAAATGAACATAGTTTGATGAAAATTCTATATCATTAGGACATTGCCGATTGGAATCAGTGCTTTTGGGGCTTGGTTTGTAACAGTTTCAATGTAACAATTTGCAACAAAATCTTCACCATTAAGGTTGTAAACCATATATCCATGAAATAGCACAAAAACTAAATAATACTAAACACATCTATTTTCTTTCTTTTCAATCGTTTCACTTTTCTATTTCGTACTAATAAGTTAGTAGTATGTTGAGGAATAGATTGAAGGCATTTAACCCGTGAAATAATAAATACTAGTCAACTTGTAATGGTCTAACTAGTAGACAAAGAAAGCAATGATATCTATTTCACAGGTTTAGTGACTTCATTCTGTGGTTTGCTGATGACACTCTAGCTTCATGCCCTCCCCAAATTTAGCTGACAGTCGTGACAACTGTTGTTCAATGTCGAGGTTCAACTCGGACAATTATTTTTTATGCTTAACCTATAAAGGGGATCAGTAATGTTTACAGGGCCATCTTCCAGCTGCAAGGCCCTGATCATTGCCTGTAGCCTTCTTAAGGCCTCTTAAGCAGATGAAAGGGCAATGCTCAGCACACACAACTGTAGAAACATCCCATGTTACTTTTTATTATTACAAGGTTTTTGAATTTTTACTAATTTCAGTGAATGATGTCTTTTATTATTGGAAATTATAATTCTAACAGAAATTATTTGCACTCCTAGGAATAGTAGTTATCATTACACACAAAAGTAGTAAATATCATTTGATAGAAATTTGTATCAGAAGGTATAAAGGTGTCAAAATAACTATAAAAACATCCAAGAATGTCAAACAATTGAGCTAAAACATCTATTGGCAAAACATGTGAAATTCAAACCACCACTCTCTCAGAGACAAGAAATATTACATCATAAGTAGTTTTATTTTTACACCGTGGTAAATGTAACAAATATTTTGAAATTTATGTTATTTCTAGAAGAGATAGCATGAAGTACCTAACAGGGAGAATAATTGTCATACGTTCTATAGATTTCTTCACTTTCCAAATAACTGAAAAAAGAAGATTCCTTTGCCCTTGGTAAAGAGTACTTAATAAATTGACATGTAGGTTGACCTGTGCCGTTTGTCCCTAAACACCTGTAATGAATTGCATCTTATTGAGTGCCTGTCTCCTCTTGAAATAGGTACAGGTTATTTGTTGCTGCTACTGCAATGATGTTCTCTTTTGGATGCCAGGCTGTGTGCAAGATCTTTTTACTGAAGTCTAGACACTCTACTGTTATATCATCCTTCTTTCTCTTGCCGGTTACAGCCACTCTTCTAGGTTTTAATACTTGTTTTGGTTTGCTAGACTCTCGGCTGGCTTCCAGACATAAATCATTCTTTGTGTTGCGATCAAATATATGAAAGAAATTATTGTAAGATCCTGTCATGATTGACCTGTTGAAAAATGAATAGATATATTCATGTGATATATAACTGTACAAATGTCTTGTATTCCTTTAGTCTATATTTTTTGACACATTTTTTGATTAACTTGGGGCAGGTAACTGTCTGCTTTACAGTACAACTAAACGATTGGCCAACTGTAGGCTAATCTATGTGTCCACTCACTGACATTTAATTCTACAAAACACTCTAATAGTAAGGAACTATGGAAGGAGTTTGGACATAACAGATTCTTATTTCAAACCAAGTGTCATTCCCACGCATATTATTTTCTTATTTACAAATAACACATAAGAAGGGACATCTGAATGAATGGACTTTGAAGAATCTTATTTCWAAGGAGATGGTACATTGTCAGAAAAGGCAAAATATTATACCAGCTGGACATTTGCTTTTTGATATGCCTTTAAATGCTGAATGTGTGCCCCAAAACAAAAACAAGGTTGGACACCTAGCCTAAACTAATTAACTTGAGTTTCAACCTTGAATATTAGTGTATCACACCCTGGAACAACCTCTATGTAGGTTCCTGCTAAAGGAGAAACACCAGTGAACCCAGAAAAAACCTCAAAAGGACCCAACAAACCCTATGAACACATGATGCTGAGGATCAACCCTATTCACACATGATGCTGAGGATCAACCCTATGCACATATGATGATGAATCAATGCTGGAACTGAAACCAAAGCTATGTAACAAATGTTTCCCATCCATAAAAAAAAAAGTGCACCAAAAGTAATACTTACGAGTCATCTCCATTCCAAACACATTCAAACTTATCAAAGATGCAGTCGTTTTCGTATAAGGAGCATAGCTTGCTTCTAAGATAATCGTGTACACTATAGACTTCCACTGGCTGTTTCTCCATGTTCAAATCCCAGACCTTGACTGTTAAGTAATCCCTAGTGATCATATAGCGACCATTATGACTAAATCTAACATCTGATATAGAAGAGATTATCTCAGAGAAAAATGACCTAGTTGCTGGGTCTTCCGCCTCCTCAAACACTGTAGAATAAAAAAGAAAATCTTATGAGCAAGAATTTACTTACAGAACGACATCATATTTGCATTATGATAATATTGTTAAGTCAAACACCTTTCCCAAATCCACTTGAGTAATCAGAAAGCAATGGCTTCAGTTTGATCGCTGGGTTTGATAACAAATTAAAATTAATGAAGTATTTGGACACATCAATCGAATATCAGCTTGAAAACATTGCTTCATGTTCATCCAAGATAATTTGGGAAAAAATACATGAAAAAAAGAAAACCATTACATCATAAACTATAAATAATTTTCCAAGTTTCAGCATCCAAAAACAAATGAAAAAAATATTAGCGAGCAAACCACACAGTTTGTCTAATGAATGATTATCAAAAATTGTGAAAAACAGCTTCGTTAAATATACCAAAACGATTACCTGCTAATATAATAAATTTTAAGATCATTTAATAGACACAGGCAACGTTTGAATGTCCAAAAATGTAATAAGAGGAACAGAATTGAATACATTGAAGTTTTTGTAAAATTACCTATCAAGGATCTGGACATAATGACAGGTATTGTTCAGATTATCTACCGTGCACTCAAAATATTGAGGAAAGAATAAACAGGTGCTTGATCCATATACGGCAAATAAGGAAATATTCCAATTATTCAATCCCTATGTACACTATTTTTTATTGCAACATGCGAAATATATTTTTCAATAGATCAAATCAACGTCATAGTCAATATTTTCCCAATACAGACCACATGTCATTCCCTAGAGTATCATTTCTTTGTTCAACGGTTGCACATGAGTAGGCACATGAATATAATATAAGAATCTTATCTTATAGGGAATGACATATGGTTTGTATAATAAGTGGGAATTTTTTTTACCACAATCAATTAGGATAATAATAATTCATTATTACACATCTGGAGAAAGAGAAAAAGGGCAATTTTCGTATATAATTTTCCATAAAAATAAAAGGCTTAAAAAAACAATTTAAACAAAGACACCTGGCTACAATAACTTCTTTATGCACCTATTGTTTTTAACTAAATTGCCTCAGGTCAAAGAATGGTTCTTTTTAAAATGTGACATCCAATAAAATAATGTACAGTACTTTCCAGAAAAGCCTCTAAGCCAGCCCCAAGGGGAATAACTGACTGTGATCACTGTTTTTTGCATTAAAAGCTAGAATTTAATTAGTTTTTAAAATTTTCAAACTGCCAATATCTTTTTTCAATGCTTATTTTCCTTTTAAATTCATATTTTAGGATTATTTTAAGAAAACTAATTAAAAAAGAGAGAATAAGAACTCTATTTTGATACAAGGAAATGCAGTAAACATTCTTAAATTGTTCATATACAAATATTGAGTTATTTTGAAAATAGAAATCATAATAATGTTAATAATAGAAAGTTCTTATATAGCACATTTATACAGCATCTCAATGCGCTTTATATCTTTATGACCAGTGGAGGACTTTACAGGCTGCATATTAAGGCGCTATTAGCAGCTGTGCAGCTTAGAATAATGAGGCTTTCCATATTCTGTGAACTTGTTGCCATCAATCAAAAAAAATCAGTCTGTACCTTTTATGTTCTTGACTGTCAGCAGTGAAAATTAATTTTACAACAAGCTGTTGAAATACTACATTACACAGAATATCAAAAACTGCAGTAAAAGGGCTTTCTCTTAACGAAACAGTATCTGTTATTTTACATCAACGCATGTTAGTTTTTAACTCACTAGATGACATTTATTTGTACTTACACTTTGCATGTGTATCACATAATGCTTGTTGTCTCATGTCACACAGACGCACTGTACCCTTACTGCTACTGTATACAAAAGTATTGCATTCTATTGGGTGAAACTCTGCAGCCGTTATAACCTCTGTGAGCTCCTCCATATTCGTAGGCTTAATATCAACAATGTCTGACCAAAGAGTCAAGGTCATAAAGCAGTAAATACAATATATTTTTTAAATATATGCTACACTTTTCTGTATAGATTACCATGATTGATCTGTTATTTAAAAAAAAATGAAAGTAAAATTATTCATTTGCATTGAAGTTGTAGAAGTCTGACAGGAAGAGAAAGGAAGGGCTTTGTAGCGGTCACAGACCTCAAGGAATAGAATGAATAATAATAAGTAGTTTGAAAATTTGTCATGGGTAAAACTTTCAAACATATACAGTTTGAGACAAACAGCACATTGTGAAAAAAACCACTTGACCATTTATCACAGACAACAATACGTAACAGATATGGCATTAAAATACGATAGAAATGTACTAGCATTATTATGTAAAGGATACTAAAACTTTGACCATTAATTCCTACATGCCATAAATTAATTCTTAAGTCATCGGCAGATAAATAAGTCTCTCCGTCGCTGTTTACAGATATGGAATTTATGTGGTAGGTGTGAGCATTGGCATAGACCCGTCGTGGGCTTGCCTCCACTACAAGATCTGATGGTTTTAAAACTGGAATTCTTAGTTCTTTTATTTCTGCTGGGTTTCTTGGAACGCCTTGGTCATCTCGCAGATTGAAATTGCATGCACGGGAATTTCTTTCAGAAATCTTCCAGAGCTTAATGGTTTTATCTGTATAAGAATTAAACAACAGTAACCATGAATAATAGAGAAAGGGCATAAGTCAAGCTAATCAACTTTAGTTTAAAATAAATAAATAAATAAATAATAATAATAACAATAATAATAACAACAATAATAATGATAACAATAATGATAATGATGATAATAATAATAATAATAATAATAATATCTTATTTGTTAGATCAGGCTGATTATTCTAGCAGCTTTTGCTGATGTGGACCTGCTTTCACTCACACTCACTACCACTACATTTACTATTTTATGCACACAACGCTCGACAAGCATTTTGATTTTTTTGGAGGGAGGAAAATGGGAGAACCCAGAGAAAAACCCTCATGGCACAGAAGAGAACAGCACATCAAACAAACTTAATTCACAGGTGGTGACTGCAGGCCTTGAATCAGCCACCCAACCCGTTGGACTCACAGTGGTGAAAGATGAAGCATTAGCAGCTTACTACACCCATAATAGTCATATATAGTCAAATAAAATAGTCACTAGATCACTGCCAACAACACAGTAAAAATTTACAGGGGAATTCAAAGAGACACGTAAATGACTTCTATAAAATATAGTCCAAACTAGCACATTATCTATTCACTCTTACAAAAGCTATTTCCAGTGCTCATAGRCATCCTCTTAAAGTGCTGATGCTTAACTAAAACTCAACTGCTAATGTATATAGCATCAAAGTGATATTTTAGAAAGGATGTGTATGTTCTTTTAATGATTTGGATCCATTAGCAACATCAAATCATTTTGTTTTGGAAAAATTCTCTTTTTAAGACATAAATAAATGTATTTTTTTCAATGTTTTGATGTTTTAACAATACTTTTACGTGGCTGTTTAAGAAATTTGTATTTATGTTTACTGTAATTTCAATCATTATTATCAGTAAAACAAGTAGATTGGAGACTTGAAAAACATTTCTAAAACTAAGATTTAATATTAAAAAATCACCGGTAGAAATCATTAAATGAACTCTGGTGGGAAATGTACTAATGATACATGTAGCTATTCCTGTCAAAATATGGCGGCTGATAAAAAAGAAATAGAAAGGAGATCGAGAAAGATCGATCCAAATGTCGAATAAAAATCAATCAATGATTGATGTTGCGGCATAAAATATTTAGTGATATTATAATAAAGGTCACTCTCAGAAAAAAGTATGTACAAAGTACGAGAAATCGTACAAATTCATAACATTTTGAATGTACTTCGACTGATATATGATATATGTATATACATATATATAATGATTATAATGACAGTTGTTGCTAAATATTTACATACCATTAGTTGAAAGAAGAAAATGTGAAGCATTCTGCCGCTTTAACCACTTGATTTTATTGATTTTTTCTTCTATTTCTAAGCTTTTGAGGTAATCGAACTCCGGCTCGTGACTTTGAAAGGTACTGTACACACTGTACTCGCCGTACCGGGGTGAATTCTTAGGCTGTGGGGTCACCAAAATTGAATTATACGTTAGTGAATACACCAAGACTTAGTAATAAAGAATTGCAATGATAAAGAAAGATTTTTAAGCCTTTCTTAGGACTTACAGCTTCGTCTTTTTGGAAAATGACAATTCGTCCTCCCTTGTCCCCTGTTGCTAACAGCTCTCCATCATGGTTGAATTCGACAGTTGAAATTATGTCCGCTGCAAGATTACGAGCAAAGGACAAATAAAAAGTTAGATAAGGGGGGTTTGGCTTCATGTGAATTAAGCAGGAATCGTTTCATCGCGATCTCTGCCTGTGAAGTGTGGATTAAAGACGAAAATAATTGTAGACGAAACGAAAAATGCTATTCTTGGCATCGTAGCTTATGGGACGTTTATATATTTTTTGATTAGCATACCTTCAGACACATCTTCTTCTATAGTTCCTTTAACCTGGGAAAAGCACCATTGCACTTCTTCATTTTCTGTGAACATAATTATATTAACTAGTCAGTCCACCCAGTTTCACTACGATCAAGATGGTGAATTTGAACTTCCGTTGGAAAAAATCCAACCTCCTTACCAACTGCCATTCCTTAATCGATAAAATGCACATGAAAGAGACCTTTGAAAATRTATATTCTATCGATTTTGCGAGTAAAAATAAATGATTATTATGAAGATGGCCAGGATGGCCACAGATTTAATCACTACATCGATTCTCTTTCTCAAAATCCAATATGGACGACTCTCGCCTTCAAAAAGCGGGTGCGTGACGTCACATTATCCCAGGCCCAAACATGCCAAATATGAGTAAAATACCCAAATATGGATGAGACTCAGACGGAAACAAACGTTCAAAATTTGGGCGCCAAAAAACAAGGTGTGCCGCCGCCATATTGTCTTGTCGGCCATAAAAGAAAAATATTATCATTTGAGATAATACTAAAATAGTTTCCAGCTGCAATTATGTTGTTCAAAATTATAATTCTATTGTCGTGAGCAATGATTTGATTTATGAATTGGTACCTTGAAAGGTTTTGAAGCATTGTGTTTTTTTGGGGGGACGCGACATGATTATGGTTGGYGCCAGTGCCGGCATAATGGCAGGATTTGAATAGCTTTCTGTCAGGGACGGCGGAGCCGTTGAGAAATAAATGATTTTCTCTCAGTTTGAGTTCCGTTACATGAAGAAATCGCCGAAGAAGAAGAGGGGTTTAGTACGGAGCATCGCGGCGTAGTCTTTACTCTTATTTTAATCAAAGGCGCGCGCACCATTAGTCATTATTTGAAATTTATTTATATTGTGCAAAGTTTACATACGTTTTCAAATGCGCATAATTATTCTATTCATGACACAACGAAAGTTCTCCACTCAAAATAGCTTTTTATTTCACTCCGTTACATAAATATCACACTAAAATAATATTAAGAAAAGGCTGACTTCTGCACTATTGGAATGTAGGTCTTTGTATATTTTATGAGTTTGTCTTGAAACTGTATTTTTCTACATTCATTAGTAAACTTTATGATGACACACTCTTAACTTAACTTGCCTTTTTTCACGTATTACTTGCATGTAAAAAATTTTGCCAATAATTAATATCGGCAAAGACCCAAGAACATAAAAATTGAATTTTCACACACTTAATAAAATGATAAACACACCAAAACAAAAATAGAAAATGTTGAAATAATTTCAACTTAGAGCACATAAGCATAAAAATAAAGATGCTAAAACACACACTCGTGAAAACGTTTTGTAGAACCGAAAAAAAATACGCATTCGCGTTTTCATCTAGTTGAGCCGTGCGCCCAAGAACGACGCATCACTAGAGCATCTTCTGAACCCCTTCACACTGCAGACACTGGATCCTGCACGCATTCTTTCTTGTGCTCAACCCAGTCTTTTACTTGACAGTCCCGGCCACAGTAACCGCGCCGATAGCAAACGGAGCACTGGAACTGAGCTACTTTGTCGCAAATACAAAATAATTTCCTTGTTTCGTCTGAAATGAAAATACCAGATAAAAGTGTTAAAATATTGGGGCATGCCCGAGCGTGAGTAGGCTGTGAGTTAATGGGTGATCTAAGGGTGCTACCAAACTACCACGGCTGGAAAACACGGCCTGTTTAAGGTGCCATTATTGCGTGCAAAGGTGCTCGCGACAGGGTTTAATCATTGCAAAAAGAATGTGAATTAAGAAAAACTACTCAATAATCCAGTTTCGACTTCTCTGTAACTCAGGGTTAGCCTCGGTTTTGTGGAGAATATTCATGTTTCCAGTGAGAGTCCGTGGAATTTCAAAGTGTTGGTACTAATGAAGTTGTACATCCTTTACTTTACCGTTAGTATTTGTGAATATTTAGACACTGTTGAGGMTAACCCTAAGTAAATAAGTCTGTAATCAAGGAACACAGCGGTAATTTGGAACTCGAAATAGTTTATTCCGCTTGCGCAAACGTCACACATTTTATCAGTTGGCTAAGAACATCACGTGATGGTTAGCAATCTTAAGTTGCAGGTCGTGTTCAAACGATAAAATCTGTTGCGCGCGTCATTGCGAAATTATAAAAAATTGCGTGCAACGTTGCACGCATCGACTTAACTGTACCGTGTTTGTTTTTATCAAAAGGCAACATGAAAATCAGCAAGCTAGTGATTTTTTCAAAACTGATTAGAAAACATGAACTAGCTTGTTCAATATAAGTGCGCATTTATTGAAAGCGGGCCTTCTTAGAATATGATGCTTCAAGTATGTGTTTACACTTATTTCAATAAAGTTAGTCACCAAAAAAACTAGAAAGCTGCGATTACTGATACAATTTGCTGCTTGAGGATGCTCAGAAGAGGTGAGACTGTAACTGGTAAAAGATCTAAAATCCATCAACAGTTATCAAAGCGGTTGAAACATGTAAAATGTATCTACCCATAATCCTTGCAGGTCTCAGCTTTGTAGCTTTTCAGGTGACTAACTTTATTTAAATAAGTGTATACCTTGATTGACAATCATTTTGATAATAACAGACACACTAAAAGTATCCCCAACAATAACATCATCTTCTCTTGACGGTTTGATGTCCATCATCTGCGCATCTTCGAACACAAAGAACCTTCCTTTTAAATCAAATCTCTCAATGAGTGTCTGTCTGACTTCTGTTAAAGTGCTGTCTGTTTGTGTGTCAATGAAGCCAAGTTTAGTGAAAGGCCCCGCGTTTGGTTCTCGTGACGTGTTGAGGATGTTTACTGGTAAACGCACGGTAAAGGGTTCATCTGTACAAACAAAGAAAACAAAAAACTTCATCAGTAAAGAAATTTAAATAGACCTCTTCACCTTGAAATGTTTTCCCATTTCAGATCATGTGTCATTCTCTTGAGAATAAGATTCTTTGTTTGTGTTATATAGAACACGTAATGCACCAACACATGCCCACGCCCATAATACAGCTTGGGCTACCTGTGGTTAGATGGCAAAACAATCAAATCCCTTTGCTTCCTCATATTAAACGATTGTATTGTTCTTGCCATCTAGCATGGCTGCCGTCTTGTGATGGTGCAAACGCTCTATTCCATAGGAGATTCGGTAAATTACCTTGAATGGTGAGGTCATCCTTAAGTGGAATGTTGCGCATATTGATGCTTGATGGCGTAACTGCGCGCCAGTCACCTTGAGGTGTTAATGACCCTGAACCAGGAGGAGAAGAGTCCGTCGACCCAGGGAGACCTGAGATGATATAAAGAAAGTACATACACCACTTTCATAATGTCAGCATCTCATTAGCATAAATATCTAAAATCAAAGTATTTATGGCAATAGTCCTCTTCACAGTTCCCTGCGCCATCTTGAAAGGTAGCCGGTGCCTTTGCATCGAAGCGAGACGTACGGTGAGCTTGCAATGATAGAGACATGTGAATAATTGTCCACGGTGTTAAAAAAGGTCGCTATCATTGCAAAGCCACCGTTCGTCTCGCTTATGTGCAAAGACACAGTTACCTTTCAAGATGGCGCAGGCAATTGTAAAAGGGACTATTGGCTTTTTCATATGAAAGAATATGTTTGTTAAAATAAAATGTACACTTTTGAAAAAGGACGCACGTGCTGTTACGAGGACTTAAAAAGACTTACCAGGTAAACTAGAATTGCTAAGCTGTGGAGACAGAGAGCGCGGGCTTGCACCTCCTGCCCAAGTAGCTTTCTTGTGTAATCTTGGTCGAGTAAATAGCACTCCATCATGGTCGTTTTCTCGTCTTAGTTCTACAAGTCGGCTATCGCTACTTTGTCTCTGRAGAGGTTCTTTCATTCCTCGTTTCTGTCCCTTTGAAGGTGATCTCCGACCTTCATCATGATCTAGAAGAATTTTCGCAACGTTAACATTTCCCTCAGTGATTTTCCGATTACTCGCGGAAGGACCTCGAGCTTCATCTGGTGAAGAAGGGACAGAACTATCCGAGTCTGTCTCGTCGCCAATGAGTCGACTTTTGCTGTTTTGTTTCGTAATGAGCTTCAGTTTAGTTGAAGTGGGTCTCTCGGGCTGCAGAGCTGGAGATACCCTTCCATCATTACTTGGACTTAGTATTCCCTTCTTCTTATGAAGGCGCGGCRACTCCTGGTCTTCCTCGCACCAGGCTTCTACTGAATCACGTGACATTACCGAGCCAACTCTTCTTGGTGTGCGCATGCGCATAATGTCAGGCGTTCCAGGTATTTGATTGGACGGTGCAATTCCTTGGGTCGAGTCTATACTCCTCTCGTCGTCCGACCGTTCGGGAAAGGCTCGGTTTATGAAGGTCATTTCTTGATCATCTGGGGATTCATTCAGGCTAAGATTTGACCTGAAAAGGCGTTAAAAATGACAACAGTTAACATGTAACCCAAGGTCTTAGTCCAAGAGTCTGAGTGAGAGACGAATAGGTCTCTCGTCTCTCTTACAGTTTATGTAGCATGCACAATCATATGCATCAGAACTCGTTAAAGGTGTACGAAAAATTACACTCCGGCTAGGGGAAGACACGTAGTCTCAACTGGGAAAACAATATGCAAAAAGTAAACGTGTTGCGCGCGCTCTCACAACAAAGGTTCTCAATAAGGGGGCGAACTAGTTTACGCAAGACTCAAGCGATATCGACCCGATTAAAACGTGGTTCTTTTTGATGACTAACCTGCTATTAATGCTGCTCATCTTTTTGATTCTCATCCATTTTGCATTTCCATGTTCTTTGCGCAGTTTTCTTTTGCCAAAGAAAACAAATGCTGCTACCACAGCAAACAAAACAACCACGGCAACACAAACAGCCACGACTACAGACACCGGAAATGACGAAGTGCTTGCTTTTACTTCCGGTTTTTGGTATTCTACGCCATCTATATTTAGCTCTATAAAAGCAACAAATGTGATACCTTCAACTTCTAATGAGTACCCTGATTGAATAGAGCTCCAAATCGCTGCGATGAAGGAGTTCAAAGCAGACAGGCGACCGGAAGCCGCGAAGTTAACCTTGATACTTCCGGGTGAAAGCCTGATCGTTGCTATGGTAACATTGTAGTTCCAAGGCTGAAGGTCATCAAGGAAAACTCTTATAAATCCCTTCTTTCTACCTTCAACTGAAGAGAAATCATTCTGGAATTTCATCTCAATGGTTTTCGTGACATTCGGGTTTCTACAGGATGACGTTGATTGGTCCATATTAACCAATAGTTGTGGAGAATGACCCTTGGTTGCTAGGAGACGGGCATTTGGCGCCAACACAACGTTTACTTTAGCCTTATAGAGTGGATTACTTGGCATATCAAAGAGCGGAACTACAGAAAGAGAGGGGTGCAATGGTTGCTTGGTGACTTGAATCATAGAGATACCGAGATCTTGCAACTCGAGAAGAGATACCAGTGACTTGACTTCAAATGCACCGTCGCCAGTCGACTCTGCTTTAACGATACCACCCCATAATCCGTTCTCATCATCGTATACCTTCACCGTTTCCCCTTGAACGAAAACTGTCCCTTTTATTTGGTCTCGCAGAGTCTCTTGCTTGCTTGAAAACTCGAAATACATTTGAGTATCGGTGTGGCGCGCTGGTGTTCCATCTCGGTTGACGAGCCTAGTGATAATACTCAATGCGCATTGGCTGGTCTTGTTTTTGTAATCAGGTTTATTGATTTGAACAGACGCCACGAAGCGCACTTGATCCCCCGCAGCACGCAGAAGAAGAGACGCGTCAGATTCCTCGATAATGCCGTTCAAATTGAAGTCCATTTTGCGCTTCTGATAAAAAAATACAAATAAAAAAGTCGGTTTAGAGTACGCAAAAATGGAAAAGACTTCTAGAAATAACTACAAGGACTGCTAAACTTCATCATCACGGTGCCCACTGAACCCAGCGTGGCCAGTAATCGCCAGAAACAGAAATAGAAGTAGATTCCAGTCCCAGACTACAAAAACAAACTAAGGCTCATTTCTATCGAACACAGGAATAACATACTCGAATGTACTCACTCTGAGTGTGAGAAGATTTTGTAAGAATATGAGGAATATACAGTATCAAATGACACTAAACTGGCTTTCACATTGAAGCACTGTGGTTGGTTAGTGTCAGAAATTCATAACTATAGTTATGAGCTTCTGTTAGTGTGAATTTTAGTATATTTTGGTTGGCCTGGAGTGAAACCCATTTCAGAATCACTTTTTGGTGAGTTTTCTGCGTGAAAGCTGCTCTAACAGTGGCGTAGAGGAATAAATTTTTCCACATATAGTACTAATAATGTAATGTACTTACTATTCCAGTGCTTTTACACGTGTCATCATCTGGGTTCAGTGTACACAACATGGTTGTCGCCGCATCGTAAAAATCCAGCCCACATTTGGAGTCCACGTCACCCAGCTGGTTGCTAAGCGACGGGCAATATCTTGTCTTGTCTTTGGATCGAAGAGCTAAATTCACATCTAGAACAGCACTAGAAGAAATCCTAGTGAAAGGAACCCCGCCTTTTCGCTTTGTAAACATCAAATCAGTAACGTAACTTGGGCTGGGGTACACAGGATTGACGTCATCAGTGATGTCACTTGGGTTGGGATTTCTAGGAGTGACGACATTAAGAAGAGTAATTCTACCGCGTTGAATACTGTAAGGGATGTTCTCTGTAAGTCCCTTGAACTGCAAGGTAGCTTCATCATATTCTATAGTGATGTTGTAAGCCAGTAGAGTGAATCCCGTAGTGTTAATATGAACAGGGATCGGCTCGTTATAGTCCATTATTGCTGGCCCTGTTAAGTTACCAATATCTACTCCACCCGAGGGTGGTTCTGTATTACAAAAGACCTCTAAGCTCACATAATCATCAGCCATGATTGTACTTTTGACTGTCACGCGTTCTGGATGCAGGGAGTCTTGCTTCAAAGTCAATATTCCCTTCTGATCGATGCTGGCTCCAAKACCTGGCTGGCACTCAAACTGGACCAGATTACTGTATTCCTCAAAGTCATCGAAAGTAAGTAGCGTTGAGTCACTCATCGCCATGGTAACCAGAAGCCGTCCACTGGCGCTGCCTGTAGCACCTACCAGTGTCTTATTCACCAGGGATGGAATATCGACCGATAAGATTTCAACAGGAGTTACAACTCTATCGATGACATGCAGAGTGATTTTTGGCGATGTCAAATTCCCCATCTTTGCATACACACTGAATTGCCCGTATGAGCTTGTGCGATCGATTTGGAGCCGGTTAGGGGGACTAGGACCGACCTTTGCCACGACGCCGACGTCATTATTGACCACGTGATATGACGTAGTAGTGACGTGATTCAAGTCATAATAGGTATTGTCAGTCATTTTCATTTGTGGTACCAGTTCGGCCTCTTCAAAGCTACCGTCCTTGCTTCCAACACGTTGGAAATAATTTCTAAGTATCCAATGAGGAGAAACAAGCGATGCCTCTAGTAATAAGGAATGAAAACCAATCACGTCCATCTTGATTTGCATACTGTAAACTCCTTCTACATGAACGACAAAAGCGCCTTGTCCAAGATGGCCGGCTGTGTTGGCTTGAATGACCCAATATTGCACGCCCTTGACGACGGTAAATAGACCACGTGATAGGTTTTTGTCGTCTATGCGGACACGATTATCATCCAGGAGCAATATCTCAGACAGTCCTGACAATGAAAAACAGATCAATAAGGAAGCAATAGTGGCATGGGTGAGTTGAGTTTGTTTGATGTGTTGTTCTCTCCCTTGTCACGAGGATTTTTCTCCGGATTCTCCGGTCTTACACCCTCCTTAAAAGTCAACATGTGAGTTGAGTGTTGTATGATGTTAATATAGAATGTAGTGGTTAGTGCATGTGGAGGGAACCTCATGGAAGAGCCCCATACGGAGAGTTATGTTTGTAAAATATGAATAAGTAAATATACAATAAAATCCTTGGCCTTTTCGTAAAATATACAATAGCTATCAAATTTCATATTTTACGATAGAATTTTGCTTGTATGTGGAAAGACTCACCTCCAGCCCGTAGTATACCAATGCTGAAATTACAAGATACAGGAACCCCACCAGACTGAGCAATGTTCCCAGGAGTCGTTAGATGAGGACACAAATCCAGAATAGCCAAATCAGTCCCTCCAGTATCATTGGGAGTTGTCAATCTTACTATAACATTGGCAACGACATCACGATGGAGACCGTTCCTCGGTCCATCGGATACATATATGCTGAGGAAGTACCTTGGAAGAACGCTGTAGTCCAGTTGCTTAGCAACGGTTATTTTACCCGTGTTTTTGTCAATTAAAAAAGTTTGTTCAGTGTTGCCCTTAATAATTTCGTAGTTAAGAGTACCATCAGAGCCAAAATCTGCGTCTGTTGCATTTATATCTACAACCAGGGCCCCAATAGCAATCGTATGTGGGATTCTGACGTATATTGATGAAGGCTGTAGAAGCTGTGGTGTGAACTCATTCACGCTTTTTATCTCTATGGTAACGACAGCACTGTTGCTAAGAGGGTTTGGTGAGCCCTTGTCTGTAGCATGGATTGTTAGTACATAGATGAGGTCATCCACGTGTGTCTGTGTCTCCAAGTCGAGGCTTCGTTGTACTTTTATTGTTCCTGTTGTGCTGTCAATCATGAAGAAACTGTGTGTGTCACCGGATGAGATCGAGTACTGAATCTCGCCGTTTGAACCTGAAATGTAGAAAATTGAAAGAAATTTGTATTAATGTACGAAAACTTGCCTTCAAGAGGGCATGAACGTCATCCAATCATAGATCTTGAATACGGGATTCCTCAAAATCGCCCTCCCCACCCACCCCACCCTGCGTCTACAAAGTCTGACCACGCAGACTTACCCAGATCAGGATCATTGGCCTGAACTGTGATGACATCACTTCCGGTCTGAGCAGTCTCCTTCACCCACGCATAATAAGACTTCCGGCTAAAGGTTGGTTCGTTATCGTTTGTGTCTTCAACACTGATATCCACGTGAGTCCAAGATTGTCGCTGATTGGCTGGATTAATAGGGCTATCGGCTGCTTGTACCTTGAGATTGAACCTTGCCGTGTGTTCACGATCGAGCGGGGCGTTAATGAATATCTTCCCAGAGGACCCATCAACACGAAACTTACGTTCACTGTTACCACTGATTATAGYGTACCTAAGTAAAAGAACCATATAATGATAAAAGGGTACATTTTACAYCGTGAAAAGATGAAAAAACTTACTGACGTTTTGGACGACGCTAGTCCTTCGTCGGAGAAAAAGGACTAGCGTCCGAAACGTCAGTAAGTTTTTTCATCTTTTCACGGTGTAAAATGTACCCCTTTATCATTAGAAACACCGACGCAGCTCACACTAGTTTTTAGCTAGTTATCTCTTGAAATAACCATATATGAGTTGAGTTTGTTTGTTGTGTTGTTCTCTCCCTTCTGCCTTGCTCCCTCCCTTTTCTCCGCGATTCTCTAGTTTTCCTTACTCAGCAAAAATCAACTACTAAATTGCATCTTTATATATATATAGCCTTGCTGGTTTGTCTTACTTACTGAGGAAGAGTAGATACTCTCAAAATATGTTCCATTAAAATGTTGATGAGTTAGAGAGAATGAACAATCATTCCCTGCAATCGACGTAAAATAAATTACATTTACAATGGTTTTTGGAGAATGACCGCATGCAAGAGGCCACCCTTCAATAAACGGGCAGCTAGGCGCAAAGTTCCGCAATGTTCTTGCCAAATATACTGAAACAAACCTCTATTCATTGGACACCGAAAAAGGTCCCGGAGGTGACCGCTTAATAGAGGTACCGCTGTAATTACCTTATTTGTCCATCAGACCCAAAATCCTTATCACTAGCGGACACCTGGTCAATCATGGTCCCTATGTTGATGTTCTCAAGCAACTGTAGTGATAAGGGGTTGCTAACAAACACGGGGCTGTACTCATTGATACTCGTCAATCGCAACTCAAAATCTGCACTGCTTGTTAGCTGGGGTATCCCATGATCACTTGCGCTGATCTTCAGTGTTCGGTTCCAGTCTTCCTCTTGTAACGTCTCTAAATCGAGGCTCTTCATTAGTCTCATTTCACCAGTGTTCGAGTTTAACTGGAAATATCCTTCGTTATTTCCGGACTGTATGCTGTAAGACACGAGGGCGTTGCTACTGGAATCGGCATCTGATGCCTTGACAGCGAAGGCAACTTGTCCTGTTGGGAAAACGATTCAAAATAAATAAATTATTAGAAGCAATCAAAATTTTATTCAAATGTATCATGAAGGCATACAGAGGGGTTTCTTCGTAGGCTATCAATATTGTCATGAAAGAAATGTAACCCCTCTCTCCACGGGATTTTGTCTTCATTCTACGACATTCTTCGTAAGAATTTAAAAACACTGTGAACGACCCCCAAAAATATAAAACAATGTTTGCGTCACCTTGGAAACACATTCTACCACAAAATCCTTGAAACGTTACGACATCTTTTTCATAAAAAGTGGGGGGAAAATTTTTTTTTTTTCAAATGTTTACTTGCCTACTGCTAGGGTCTCAGGAATATTCACAACATTAATAGAAGAGGCAAATAAGGGTTTGTTGTCGTTGATGTCCTTCACGTGAACCCTTAACGTGAAGTCAGCATGTAAACCAGTCCCGCCGCTGCCACCATCACTCGCACGAATCACTAACGTGTAGTCACGTGTGTGTTCGTAGTCTAGACTGTGTGTTAGTTTGACTACTCCTGTTGATGCGCTGATGTTGAATCGACCTTCACTGTTGCCAGATAATATGGAATAGGTTACTTGTCCTGGAACGAAAATCAAAGGCTACATTCGTTACAGTGTAACTACTGTAACCGGGGCCACTTACACCGGTTAGACAAGATTAGACAAGGGAAGCAATGAAAACAATGCATTCCAACTTTGGGTCGTGGAGCCAATCAGAAACTTATATCCCATTCACATCTAAACGTGTTTATTTAAACTGTGTTTTCATTAGGGAAAAAAATGAGAAACTAGAAACCTACAATATAAGGAAACTTTCTAAAATATTATCAGAGCAAGACAAAGGAGAGCTTACATGCATTATTTTACCAAAGATTGTGCAGTGTTCGTAGATAGTTTTCCAATCCTGTTTAGTTAACTAACCACTTTAAAACATGTTTAAGCCTTGGTGTGAATGAGCTATTAGACTGCACGAGAATGGTAATTTGACCCTCATGTTACGTGTAAACAACTAGATAGCCATCGTCATTTTCTCGCAGGAATAAAAAGATATCTTGAAAGGTTATTGTAAATGTAGCTATTGCGTTTTATTTATAAATTTAAAAGCATATATGATAGAGAGATAAAGATATGATCAAGTTTGGTTGCCATGGGAATAAAAAATCCGCTGACCTTGAGTACCGTAGTCCTTATCAGTAGCATTTACGTCAACTAGTTCCAGACCACTGTCTCCGACATCGACGTTTTCTTTGATGTTAATGTCCCGCGATGTACTGTGGGTAAAATACGGAGCGAACTCGTTCACAGCTATGACGTTGATGATGACTGATGAAGTGTTGTGACGTTGGTTGGGTGTTCCACGGTCTGTTGCCATAACGACTGCAAATAGTAACACACACAAAAATTCAAAATTGGACTACCAAACAGTTTAGGGACTGACCATTAGATTTTTGAGAGGGGTTGGGCAATTTTTTTTTTTTTTTTTTTTTTTTACGCCTCATGGCTGTGCAGGAATTTTTTTGGACATAATTTGGAATTTTTTTCTGCCACTTTTCTTATGCACCTTTTTTTTTTTCACTCTTCAAAGCTGTGCTCGATTTTTTTGGATTTTGCCCACCCTCTCCCCCTCAAAAATCTAATGGTGCGTCCCTTAGCTCTGCTAATATTATCAAGCTTACCAAGAGTGTAACTCAGCATCGGTGGCGTTTGCCCTTCCATGTCCAGCACTTTCTTGACAATAATGTCACCATTGTTCTCATTAATGCTAAAATATCTATCGCTGTTTCCTTTAGTGATAGAGAACCTTATATCACCATTACTGCCTGCATCCGGGTCACTCGCCTTTACTCGTACTATCACGTGACCTGGCGAGGCCGTCTCGGAAACGTTGGCTCTCAAAGGATTCATTTCAAATACTGGAGCATTATCATTCAAGTCTGTAACTATGACAACTATTTTCATCTCGGCAAATCGAATCTTTTCCGCTACAGCTTCGTCGCTCGCTCGGACGATAAGGATATACGATGCAGTAGCCTCTCGATCTAAGAGCTTTCTCGTTGTTATATTACCCGAGTGTTTATCGATTGAAAATGCATCTCCGATGTTACCCGAGTGAATTGAATAAGACACGATGCCTTGACTTCCTTGATCTTTGTCTGATGCGCTGACGGTTTGGATAAATGTTCCGATCGATACTCCTTCGGATACGGATGATGTTCGTGTTGAATTGTTCGGAATGAATTCGGGAAAGTAATCATTGACGTAGCGCACCTATAAGATACAAAAAAGACAAATGTAATGGAAATGGTGAGCACACATTTTAGGATGGAATGGATGTCTGAGAATGTGTTACATGACCTTTAAAGCAAAGCTTCATGTGTTACGCTGCGGTAGGATATCGTCCTTGGCCTCCTATATAGACGTTCTAAGAAAAGACAGCGTTACGACACTAAGAATGTCTGTGAAGGGGGCTAGAACATTCTCGGACATAAATGGCTACTGGGGAAGAAGAGAGAGGGTCTGGAAGTATGTACTGTAGACCGAGTGAGGTAAGTAAAGGAAGAAAAAATTGTCTTCTTTCTAAATACCTCAAATCTGTCAGACAGGACACGTTTTCCACTGCGTGACTCAAAACTTAAAACGTATCCCTCTCCATACTCAGTGATCATCAGGTTAGTAAACCTTGCTCTTTCTCCTTCAACTAAGACAGTCTGGTTTCCTTTCAGGATTGATTTTCCAGGTTTGGGATTTAAAAACAGCGATGCTGTCACCGTACACGTGCTCTTGAGAGGCGTGGCACGAGCACGTGTTCCAGCATCCCTCACTTCAACTACAGGTTGTCTTCCAAACACTTCAGACGCGTTGGCCAAACCTGGCTGGGTTATCACCTGTAGGTAGAATATTCTTTGTCGAACATCAAACCGTTCGGAAGTTACCGTCAGTCGCGAATACGAAGCTGAATAAGGTAAAGTGGTCACTTGGAAATTCATCTGATATCCATTAGCAACATCGCTGAACCTTAAGTCAGAATATCTGATCCTTCCTGACTTGGGAACAGTGAGTAGAGTTGTCCCGTTCAGTTGGCTGGGGTCAATTCCGTTGACCATCGTGGCAAGAAGCGTCCACTTCCGACCACGCCAACCTATATTACCGACCGGTCGGTTTGTGGCAAGGTCTTGGATTTCGATGATGGGTTGGAAACCACATGTTACGGTATCATTGCAGTTTCCTGCAAAAAGAGAATAAATGAATAGAAACCAGTGAGATAACTGGAAGAGGCACGGTTTCAACTAACTTGCAGCTCGTGTTTAACGTCCTGGTTTTAACAGAAACGCCATGCATTTTACGTGGTCATCCGAGCCACGACGAAGGTCTAAACATTTGCAGAATTTTTAAGAGCGAATGCAGCATATTCTACTCAGATATCTTAAGACCCTGAGTTTTGGACAGGTCGGGGCTTTAACGTTAACCCAGGACCTCCCGCACATCAGGTAGTTACCCCACCACGTAAGCGCAGTAAGGCGGGAGGCGGTATGACGTACTTTCTATATTTACCTGGTTGTTGGACGATAACGAGTTTAAGCTGTCTCTCCTTGACATCAAAAGGGTTTGTACTAATGCCATAAGAATATCGTGACGCTGGCACAGTGAAGACATTTATACTGAGGATGTAGCCGCTACCAGCATAATCAATAGACAGGTTAGTAAACCTTGCAACGCCTGATGTAAACCCGATACTTGTTGATCCGTTCAGGTAACCTGCAAGATGCAATACCTCACTTTTTGAATAGACCCCTTGCATTGATTTCGTAGAGGAATTGTTCTGGGGGACAAAACAATAGGCCGTCCCTTCTTACGGCAAAAGAAATCCATTGTTTTGTCCCCCAGAACAATTCCTCTAGGCACTCGGTGCAAGGGGTGAATTCTAAGTAATTCATGATTATCACTTCAATGTATGCTATTTAGGGATAAGGTCAAAACGATTGCATTTCACGGGACCTAATTTACAGGGGAGGGGAGGGTTGGGGGTGCCTGGTACCAACAACCTCGGGAAGTGAAATCCTGGATTTTCTCCCAAAGTAAAAGTCGGGTACTTATTTAAGACCACTGTCTTGTCCCTTACAATACCGCTAAGCCGCGAGCATAATATTGGGGTATAAGAGTAAGTTGAATATTACTTTCTATGGTTGGGTTACCTTTGTTTTTGCTTGGGTTCTCCATGGCAACATTACATATCCATTTCCTTCCTTTCCAACCTGTATTCGTCACCAGGTCTCCATTCGCCGCATCGCGCACTTCCACAACAGGCTGCTGGTCAAACGGTACCGTCTCGTTCGCTTCACGTGGACTCGAAATCAACGTAAAATAAAGAACCCTTTCTTTGACCTCGAATGCTTCAGACGATGCTGTGATGTTTRCTGTTGTTGGGCTTGTTACGGTGAAGTCAACGATGTAGCCGTCCGCGCTGTGTGTGATGTAGAGGTTAGTGAAGTTTGCCCAGCCGTTGATAAATGGAATAGTGTTGTTCCCGCCAAGGAGAGACCCTTGTTGACCTGTACCTCGCCGAATTGTAGCTGTTATCAACCTGAGAAAAAGGTAGATTTTTAAACAATATAGATCATTGAATATGACTATAGTAACAAAACCGAGTTATTGGGCTGCCTGTGGTGCTATAAGTAAATAGTCCATAATTTCTATGGCAAAGCATTCTAGCTTACTTTCCCACGATTATTGAACATTACTGAATACGAACATTGAAAAACAGGAGTATATGAGCCTGCTGGAATGCTGGCTTGCGGCGCTTGTTACAGTTATTATTCCATACCATTGGGAATCATTTCCATGTCCAAGCGTCTTAACAGTCCTATTGAACGCATCCAGAATCAGGAGCCTTGGCTGCAGACCAAATGGGACAGTCTCGTTGGCATCTTTAGGGCTCTGAGTGACGAGAAGTTTAGCGGGAATCAAATAATCATGTTCAGGATTAGTCTTGTTTTCTTCCTTCCATGTCATAATTTCATCATATCGCCATGTTCGATTAGACGGGCCACCTATGAACAAAACATACCCAAAAAATCTCAATATATATTCAATGAAACCATCCCTTGGGATAGCGCGAGGTATTCGGGATCATCCCGCAAGCAAATCATTGAAATTATGACTCACCCGTTTCATTCGTAGCCCGAACACCACCAGTCGGGTCCACTCGGGGAGGTTCGGGATCGACCACATCAATCGATAATACGTCGAGTTTTAGAGCCTTGGACATCCTTTTAGTTTGTGCGGCCTCGACTATCTTGGAGGACAGCTGCTTTAATTCCGAGTATGACGTCACATCCGGGTAAGGAAGAGGTGTCGTGGACGTTGGTGAACTGGTACTGAAGGAGTAGAAGAAGATCATTTAGACAAATATCGAATTTTTACAGAACACTAACCGGAAATGAGATTTACCTTGGACCGGAAGTACTGTTTTCGTCGTAGCGTTCTTCAGGTTTGTACGGGATACGGGATGGCGGTGGATTAGAAATCTCTAGTTTTATTTTCATCGTGTCATCTTGCGGGATTGATCGACGTCTTCGGGGTCGTCCCGCAGCGTTTACGACCTCAACCACGCGTATGCGGGATCGTTCGATATTCAGCAGAGCCGCCAGATTTCTGATGAGATTCTTTTCGAAGAAATCATCCACATGCACCGGTTTAGTGCCTGGAAAACAAGGCAATTCGAATAAAAGTATAAAGGGATGACCAACAAAAGTTCTCCACCCTTCCCCCGGTGCGTAGTACGTACCTATTGTGACTTGAATTATAGGCATGGTTCGAATATCCACAGGGCTCCCACCACGCACAACTACCATTAACATCTTCAGTTCGTTATCAAAATAGCTTGAACCGCTGATACTTGTGAGTGGGGGCTCAAACTGATCGTCTGGGAGGCGTGGATCCTTTTTCTTAAGAGTAAAACCGCTGTTCTTGAAGTCTGTATTCGTAGGGTAGACATACTGTCCCTTACGATAGATATCAAGTCGTCCAGGTTTGGAGTACCAGATGGACAAGCGTAAGACTTGATGGGTGTTGCTGTTCAGGAGTCGTAGGCGTAGCTTTTCAGGATTCGTACCTTAAATGAATGAAGAAAGAAATGAAGAAAGAAAGAAAGAAAGAAAGAAAGAAAGAAAGAAAGAAAGAAAGAAAGATA